TGTTCACTTACCTCGGTGAGATCCATGAAAACAACATATGAAAGCAATAACATTATCATCATCATGAAATCATATAGACTTTATAACATAACACTTACCACGCCTTTGCATTTCAATCATTAAACAACATATTTTCCTCTTTTATCAGTCTACTAGTATCCATGGGGATCCATAGGGGGTCCCTGCTACCCATGAACCATTAACATTAATAAACTGATTCCAGGACCGTCCTCATACTCCGTCCGGTATGGGCGCCAAAACTATAAACCTCCATACCCCGTCCGGTATGAGGGTGAAATGGGCCGTCCCCATACCCATTCCGATATGAGCGCCAAAACACATAAGGTCTCCATACCCCGTCCGGTATGAGAGACCACGTTCCCGGTAGGGTTTCCTACAGACCCGGTCCGTCCACCATCTCCCAGGATATCTAGTCAGGCTGTCCATATTTTTCACTTATCAATTCACATAACCTTTTTGCCTTTTTTCTTAATATCAATCATCCAATCATACACAACATGTAAACCAGTAATTAACACCAAACAAGATAACACAGTATCAAGTTCACCATAATACAAACCATAATAAAAGAAACCATGATTCATGCATACGAGACCATAACATAATTACATCAAACATCATACTGCATTTAATACTGAAAATTAGATCAAACAACAACAGACCAACACTGTATCAGACTCGGGCTCCATTGGTAACCTCAATCAATTATACATCTATAAAGTCTCAAAATACTGTTTAATTATTTATTAAGCTTTAATACCGTGATAGGAAATAGGGTGAGGGGTCCTTACTTGTTTCGAGGTCTGAAATCGACTCTACAGTGCGCCTACGGGCTGTCCCTAATTTTCCGGAATTTTTTCTAGAAAATTGAAACGCACTACTGGTACCTGCACGTGTCCCAAAAAATTCCAAATCAGACCTAGGGCCCATTTCGGCCAATATCGAAATTCCGACACGGCGGCTCCGCCGTGCTCCAGCGAGGGCGCCGCCGCCTGCGACTCTGCCGTGCTCCAGCGACGGCGATCCGCCTTGGGTTGGCCATTTTCGGCTGAATTCGGCCAAACTTACATTAGTCCCTGCGATAAAACAACTCTAGGGCCCTCGGTGGGCCAAAAAATCACGAAAAATCGAGACTTACCGGCTGCGGTGCTCTCGGGTGCGGCGGCTCCTCCAGCGTGAGTCGCGTTTTGATGTTTGGCTCCGATCAACCTGTAGAGAAAAGAACGATGATCACAGTGGTATAAAATTTGCATCGAACGGAGGCCAGGAAGGGCCTTATCAGAGGCAAAAATAGAGGGGAGTCCCAGCGATGTTGTCGGACTTTAGTGGGATTTTTCGGCCGTTTGGCCAGTGGTTTGGCTTCGGTTTGGCCATAGGCGGATTCAGCATCGAAAAACGAGATAGGAAAAAAAATTTACCTCGATTGACGATCAGAAACTTCTCCGGTGCAGCGGCGGGTGGCGGCGGCCGACTCCTCCGGCGTCTGGTTCTTCTTCTCCAACGAGGCACTGGCGGCTAGGGTTTTGTGGTTAGGTGTGGGTGGGGTTATTTATACCTTTTGCCTTTTAATCTCAACCATCCATTAATATTAAATTTGGACCGTCCGATCGCGATTTAATTAGGATTAAATCTGGGCCGTCCATACGCGTAAATCTGGGCCGACTGTGCGCACGTTTGATCTAAGCCATCCGTGTGCGTGGGAACGGATCTGGGCCATCCGATCGCGCGCACGTGGATCGCCCACGTGGCCCGTCTCGTGTCAGCGTTTCCTTACCACGCGGCGTGTCCTGGTTGGCCGGGGCTGCTGACGTGGCACAACTTTTTTAAATTGCGTTTTGACCCCCGGGTTTCCGATTTTCTTTCAAAAACACCCATATAATCCAAATTTTCACCTCTTTTTTTCCAAAATCAATTTTAATTAAATCTAAATAATATTTTTACCTAATTTTATCATTATTATTATTTTTATGTTCATTAAATTAAATTAAATTAAATTAAATTAAATTAAAATCTAAAAAATTCTAATACAAAAAAAGAAAAATAAATAAAAATAAAAATAAAAATAATATAATATAAAAAAAAATATTTTGGGTGTTACATAAACTCCCACTAATAACATAATTTTTAAAAAATAAATATGTTTTGAATCTAATTAAAAATAAATTCTATTTGAATTTAAACTAATAAATAAAATAATTTATAATTTTTACATTTATTTTCAACATTTTCCCTTAATATAGAAATTACAATTACCAAATTTATTTTATTGGAGTACTTCTCTCCAATATTTCTTATTTGATCTTCATATTTTCAAGTATTTTTCTTCAATTGTTTATGCATTTCTCAATAACTCCTGATTATTGATTCACTTCTCATCAATATTCAATTATTTAATGTACTTCTCGTCAATTTTTAATTATTTGATGTACTTTTCATCAAAACTTTTTAGAGTATTTCTCTCCAAAATTTAAAGAATAGTTTCTTCTTCTTCTTCAACAATATTTGTTTGTTCATTTTTCAACATGTAATTTTTTTTTTGTATATGCCCAAATTTTTTACAATAAAAATTTTATAATTTACTTTTATGCCAACAATCTTTTTTTATCATCATTATTTTTCTTGTATATTTCGTATTATGATTTTTTTTTTTTAATATTGATGAAGACTTCTTTAACAACTTGGCAATGAAGAAGCCTTTCGTAGTTTTTTTTTTTTAAATTATGTTAATAGTAGAAATTCATCATTTATTAAATTTAATTTATATTTATCTTTTAAATAGTGATATGTTATTTTTAAAAAATTTAAATTTAATATAAATTTATTTAAAAACACTTTAAATTATTAATTTTAAAAAAGTGAAGTTAATGAAAATTTAAGTTTTATTTATCAAGAAAAATCTTAACAAGTGATATCAGAGTCTCTAACAGTTATGAGTATATGAAAATTTTTTAACATATATATTATTTGAAACATTTTTTTTTTTCAAAAAATTCAATATGAGAAACTAAGCCACGCAATATA